ACGACTTAAAGTTTCAAAGACATATATACAGCTGACCTTAACACAATGTAGGGGTTAGGGCCTCTGATCTCCTGGTGCAGTTGAAAATCCCATATAACTCCATATAACTTTTAACTCCCTGAAAACTTAACTACAAATAGCCTATTGTTTACTGGAAGCCTTACTAATAACATAAATAGACAATTAAAATATATTTTGTACATATATCATATACTGTATTCTTATAATAAATTAAGTTAGGAAAAAGAAAATGCTTTTTCAAATTGCCATAAATCTCCAAACATTTTCCAATGTTACTTATTGAAAAAAATTCAAATATAAGCAGACTCCCATAGCTTAAATCGTGTTGTTCAAGGGTCGAGTATAATCAGAAAATACAACATAAAATAATGTGACACAATTAAGACCAAACATTTACATCCTTATCTGTCTTAACTCATCAACAGAAAAAAAGCTTTAGACTGACTCACAAACCAAAACCATTCTATGCTATTGCCAAGATGTATCTATGATTCAGAAAGTATAGAAAAGTTTAAGGAAAGGAAAAATTAATAGATAGGATAAGGCTCACAAAAACATGGAGTACAATCCTTTTATTAGACAATGTAGATTTTTGGCTCAAAGTATAAAAAGAAAGTCACTTTATCACTGATAAAGAGTACAATTCACAATAAGGAAAACAATGAATATATATGTGCTCCCAATAATATAGCAGCAACATTAGAAAAGCAGAAATTACAGGTGATAAAAGGAGGAATAGAAATAGAAATACAGTAATAGTAGGAAATGTAAATTTATTTCTTTCAGTGTGAGAGAATAATTAAATAAAAATAAATAAGGAAAGAAATGATCTGAACAACCTAATAAAAATGGTAGCACACATGGATATTCATTTAACTCTACTCTTCAATTGAACATACCTTATTTTCAAATAACTTTCACAAAAATTGACTGTATTAAGCTATACAAAATACGTCATCAAATTCTAAGAGCAGAAATACAAAACCACATTCTCTAATTAATAAGATGAAACAGAAAGTTATAACAAAGTCAGAAAATAATAAAATCTTTAATTTGAAAATTTAAAGTCTTTCAAACAGTATTTAACTAAGAGGGGAAATACAAATGAAGTTTTTGGTGTTTCTAGAAAATAAAATAATAAAAGTACTATACACACATTAGAAACTTTAGAATATAGCTGAAACTGATCAGGAGAAAATTGTTTTAAATATTTTTATCAATAAGAAAAAAATGAAAGTACATGAACTACTAATATAGCTCAAAAATTTAGAAAACCAACTAAATTAACTGAAGAAAAGTGGAGTGAAAAATTTAAAAAGCTAAAAATAAAAATTACGAGTCAGAAAACAGAAAACCAGAGAGCTAAAAAAGATTTTTTTCTTTCAAAAGCTCTTTTGCTGGGGGAGAAAAAAAAATAAACCAGTTGATTAAGTTACCACCTCTCCTAATCAAGAGTAAAAAAGGACAAAGCACAAATACACAAAATAAGAAATGGGGGGGAACCACAGAAATAAGACAAAATTTAAAAAAATAAGAAACTACTTTGTAAAAGTCTATATAAATAAACATAGATAAAATAATTTTCTAGTAAGCTATAGCTTGCCAAAACTGAACCCAGAGAGCCTAAACAAGACTAATATTCACAAAAAAAAGGAAGAAGTTTTAAAAGATCCACCAAACAAATCAAAACACATCAGGCCATAAACATTTTACAAAGGAATTCTACTAAACTGTAAAAGGGCTGATAATTTTAATACTATTTAAAAACTAGTGTACATTTTGGGAAAAAGAAAACTTCCAAATGTTTTATAAAACTTAACACTAGTGCCACACCTTGAAAAAGACTGCACAAAAAAAGAGAAGACTGCAGATCAGATCAATCTTACTTTTGCATTTTGATTAAAAAGGTAAAGTATTAGCAAACAGAACACAGAACAACATTAAAGGAACCCAGAAATTCAAGTTTGGCTCAAGGTTGTTAAAAAGAAGAAAAATATCATATTAACACAAGCTCTATTGATGCTAAAAAGAAACCTGACAAAATTCAACATCCATTCTTGATTAAAAGTACTTAATAAACTAGGAATCAAGAGATGTTTCTATACATAATACATAAATATATGTATACATCATACTTAATGCAGAGACATTAGAAGCAGTCCTTCTTATATAAGGATTAAAAAGAGGATGCCCCCTAATCACTACTGCTTAACATTGTCCTAATTAGTCAATATAATCTGATAAGAATTAAATTTTAAAGGGAGGGATAAACCTTTCACTATCTGTAGTGATATATATGATTACATATTATAACCTAGAAATTCCATGAAAATCACTTATAAAACTATTATAAATAATAATGGAATTCAAAAGGCAGAGAGAAAAAAGTTAGTATGTAGAAATCAAAAGCCTTCATGTACACAAACAATAGCTAGTTAGGATCTATAAACCATTTAATAGTAAAAAGGGGAAGAAAATATATAAGAGTTACAATAACATATGTGCAAATTTTACATGAAGAAAACTTTAAAATACTCCTGAAGAAACAAAAGCAATCTTACAAGGGGAAAGGTACAGTATTTTCTTGGACAGAAAGACTTAGTATCTTAAAAGATGCCAATTTATCTTCATTTATAAATATAATTAGATCTCAATAAAACTAACAGCCCATCCTTCCATACCCATAGGATCAAGACAAGGTGTTTCTAAAGCTTATATGGTAAAATAAATAAGAATGGCCTAGAAAACCCTGAAGAGAAAAATGAGACCAGTATTATAATGTATTAAAAGTCATGAAATAAATGATTGACCAATACATGTAAATGTTTGTGTGTGTATATGTACACACACACACACACATACACAAACATACCAAAAAAGAGATAAATTTCTACATGGCAAAAAGACAAAACAAAAATAAGATCATAACCAAAGTCAGAAGACATATAACAACCTAGGGATATTATCTGCAGTTCATATAACAAAGGGCTAACCTCCTTTAGAAAGTTCTCTCAGTAAATGCAAAGACCAAAAGTCCAACAGAAAAAAAAAAAAAGAGCACAGGATAGAAAGTCAATGAAAAAAGATGTAAGGTGGCCCTTGCATATATGAAAAGATGGCCAAATGCAAAATAAGGAAACTATTTCTTGCAAATCTGATTTACAAAAATCTAGAGTTTGACACCTACAGAGGCAAAGGTGTAAGGAGACAGCCTCATTAACTGATGCACAATATTTATAACATCTAGGGAGGGTAATGTGGCAATAATGACCAAAATTACAAATACATTTGTCCTTGACCCATCAATCTCACCTCCTGGGATCCATCTTAAGGATAGGTCTATATATATATATATATACACATATGAAATGATGTTCTAAAATGGCAAATAATTAAAAACAGCCCTAGTATACACCTCAAGGAGACGTCTGAAATACATTCCCAATGACATATTCCTCCAATGGTTGATGCAGCTGAAAATAATGAGGAAACTATGTACTACTGATCTGGAAAGATCCAGGGATCCTTGAAGAAATAGCTGATTCCAGATACAGGGCAGGAAATAACACAATGAGCTTGGAACATCCTGATGTGCCAGAAAGCAAAAAAAGCATCAAAGAACTAAGGAATTATCAACAAGACATTGTAATATTCCACATAAGAATTGTATCTAATGTAAAAGGAATAACTGAATTAGAAAACATACCAATTAGTGATCCCTCATAAAATAATTTGGGTAATAATAATCAATGAATGGAGTTGTTAGTTATTGAAAGGTTGGGAAATTTACAAATAGAGAGATCAGGCCTACTGATTTCTGAACCTACTGATCAATCTTATTATCACCAAAGTTGGGACCACTAGATACTGTGTGTCTCCTAATACAATATAGTATGAAGCACTTATGAACTATTCTGAACCAGAATTCAATCAAGCTTTTAGGTACAACTTTCATTTTTGGGAAATAAAAGGGATAGAGGTACAAGGTCAGAAACACCACAAGAAGACAAAAGACTAAATTTTTGGATATTCCACAGGACAAGTGACAGTTTCTGCAACAAGTCAACAGAATGAACAAAAGGGAAAAACAAAATAAAACAAGTGGAAAGGAAATAGGATTACTACATTTAAAAAAGGAGTAATAGCTAAATGTGATGTGTGGATCTTCTCTGGACCCTGATTAGAACCAGCTAATTATAAAAAGACATTTGAGACAATCAGGAAAACCTGATAATGGACAGGGTATTGGAGGCTACAAATAAATGATTTAAAATTTCTTACATATGATAATGGTATTATGACTGTGTAAGAAAACTTATTTTTAGAGGCATATAGTAAAGTAGTAGGGACAAAATAACATGCTGAGATCTTATTTAAAAATACTACAATAAAGAGTAAATAGAGATAGTTTAAGGAAAGGTAGAAAAATCCTGATAATTTGGACACAGGTGGTACTTTATCATACTTGTCTCTACTTCTATTTAAAAATATTCATACCTGAACATGAGAATACAATTAGCACCACATTAAGCATCAGCAATAGGTATAATGGGTATAATGCCTGAGGTCCCCATGACTAACAGACTTCTTTTCCTTTAAAACATATATTTTATAATGAAATACTGACAGAGTTAAAAGGACAAAAGTGAGTTATAATAGAAGACTGCTCAGATGATCATGTCAAAGCTTTTATATTTGCTTTAACATGCTTACTTCATGCTACTACTAAACTTTAAATTCTAAGTACTTTCTAAGTACTTTCGAAAGTACTGTGTAAAGGCTTTCTAAATGAAATGTAACAAAAATATAAAGGTTTTTATAGATTGTCTTCATATCCAAATATTATTTCAAGACAACCAGCACATATCATTACATATAAATTATGTATAAAATGTATATATATATTTATATACATCCCCTACACAGAGGCCATACAGAAATTCACTACCCAATATAGAATATGGTTTTAGTTCTCTTACCATCAATATTAAGCATCATTTTCCACATGGCAGGTCGAACAGATTGATGGAATCCAAACCATACTTCCCTGCCCCCTCCCAGAGGGTGGTCATATCCTTCTGGAGCTGAGAAAAAGGAACGCCCCACAGGCGTATATCTACAAAATTAAAATGGCATGTTCAATTCTCTCCTTCTCATAAAAGTATTTAAATCTGCAGAATAGGTGAGTCTAGAACACATACACTTAATACAGCATAATGATGCTTGTCATTAGGAACATATGAAAAAACATTTTCCAAATCTGTGAAAGTAAAAAGCAGCCATTCTAAATGAGGGGAAAAAGAAGAAAGAAAAACATCAGCATCCTTCACTGAAATTTTGGTTCTTAAAACTAATGTCTGAATATGTTTTATTTAAAATACTTTCTTAAAATAGATTTTTTAAAGTTAACTGTTCCAACCTTAGAAAATGCTAAAGAGTAAATAATTATTGATCAAAAAGCCATTTCTGTGTTTACAAGACATACTTTTCTTTAAAAAGACAATAAACATACACACACAAATACACACATATATATATATGAAGTGCTGATGTGATTTAAAAAGCATCAGGTTCAACATAATTTGATACTATTGTATAAACAACATTACCTTTAAAACAAGGCGATTAAACTATAAGAATATGTCTGAAAATTTATCAGTTACATAAATTTGAAGCTCCTAAGAGAAAGGGCTAGACATTTTTTTGAAAAAGTATCCATTAAAATAGCTAAGCTAATAATGTGCATTTACTATCTTTCTTTCCTTTTCCTTTTTTTTTTCGAGTTACACCAACAGCTTTATTGAAAGATGAGGAGAGCAGAGCCTCCTGCCAACCACCTGGCAACAAAGGTCTCAGCCTGGGGCACCTGGGTGTTTTGCAGCCGATAGGGTGTGACCAAACATGTGCAGTCATTTACAGTTGTTTCCCAAGTCAGGGAGGTTCCCACACCCGATGAATATTTACTTTCAAAAGTCAGAGAATTTTCTCTAACCTACTTCTGTCAACTTGTATGTGTGTTATTCTCAACTGAAATAATCAAAATAAACAACAGTTGAAGATTAACAAAAGGTGGACTGTACAATTCACTCTTGGGAGGAAAGCCACCACATTTAAAATCTAAATGGGAAGAAAAACCAGAAGCACCCACTTCATGGAGGGCAGATGTCGTAGCACCACGTCAACAGCATGGACAGGATTAGTGCTGATTGGCTTGTCTAATTCCAGGGGCTCAGGCAAGGTCCGTCCTGTCAGTACTTCATGGAGTAGGTGCCAACTCACCCGAGAGACAAATTTGATTGATACCTTGAAAGGTCGATCTTTTCCACCTTCCCCTGGTAAAGTAACATCTAAATCTACCTGTTGATGGGAAAAGTCAACTGGTAAAAACTTAGGAAGATAAATATAATTATTTTTAAGTTTAACTTATAAAAATATTTAAGAGAAAATAAAGCAAAAAAAGAAGAAACCAATCTCAACATTAAATCAATAGATAATTTCCAAGAAATATTGTTAAGTAAAAAAAAAGTGAAGTACAGAAAATTACAAATAGTATGCCATCTTATGTGTGAAAAAGAAGAATAGGAAAATATTCATGCATCTGCTTATTTTTACAAAAAGAAACACAGGAAGCATGAACCAGAAACAAAGAAATTGGTTACTTTCTGAGTATATTTTTCAGTGTAGTTTTGACTCTTGGAAGCATGTTAAATAAAGTTCTATATATTAAAAAATTAAAAATAAAATCAACAAGAATGGAAAAAACTAAAACTCAGTATAAAAAAAATCAAATGAAGCCAAACACATTTCAAATGAATTACATAACCACACTGAAAGAAAGGAAATATTAATACTAGTGACTCTTGAACAGAGTATATGACTTTTATATTCTCAACTGGGGGGAAGAGAGGTGAGTTAGGAAAACTGCATACAAAATAAAAACTTAAACTCTTATTAGTAGGTTTGTTTCCTATATTGATATGACATAGTAATTTAGGAACTATTTTATATATATTGTTAGATTGAACAAATGAATAAAAATGTTGATGTATGGGGAGCAGGGGTTCAAAGAAGAATATACAAACATGCAATATGGGGACTAAAGGAAAAGTCCTGTAGGGACAGAAAGTAAGTAGAAGAATCAGTTCGAACTCAGGATTTCCAATATACATACTGTATATTGTATACAGCAAGTGGCACTTGAATACATGTCAGGTTTACCATATGACATGTAATATTATTACAATTTATGTATACATATTTCCTACCTCCATATACCCCAGTAGCAATGAGCACATCCAGTACTCGGATTCTGGTTTCTAAATTACATTCCCCCACTAAAAGAAGCCATTGTTCCTTTGAGAAAGGCCAGCTGCAGAGCTACAGCAGGGAAAACATAAGATGAGTGATAATGTTATTGTGCATCTTGTGCCAGAAAGTAAGGAAGTACTAAGGAAAAAAAATGTGTGTAATGTCAAAGGACACAGGAATCAGCTAAAAAGGGCTCCCACTGGTTAAATCCGGGACAATCTGGGAAGTCAAATAAATAGGGGAAGAGAAAATGCTCTCCCTTACAATAAAATACCAACTAATAAATGTAGAAAGAATGACAGAATTAGAAAAATCAACATTAGTACACAGTAATAATCTTTCTATGCAAGAGTCATCAATTAGTAAAAAATCTAATGAGAAACAAAATTCTTAAAATTATCTTCTACATCAAAAGTAAAAACTTCTGTGCATCAAAGGACATGTTCAAGTAAAATGGCAGCCTATGGAATGTGAGAAAATATGTCCAAATCATGTACCTGATAGGTACAGTGATTTCCTAAAACTCAACAACAAAAATGAAACAACCCAATTTAAAAGTGGGCAAAGGACTCAAAAAATACATTTCACCAAAGACAGACAAATGGTCCATAAACACATGAAAAATGTTCAATGTCACTAATCATTAGGAAAATGTAAATCAAAATCACAATGAGTTACCACCTCACACTCATTAGGATGATTACTATCAAAAAACAGAAAACAGCAAGTACTGATGAGGCTGAGGAGAATTTGGAACCCTTGTGCACTGTTGATGGAATGCAAAATCGCCTGTGGAAAACAGTATGGTGATTTCCCAAAACATTAAAAATAAAATTACCAATTATATGATATAGCAACTCCACTTCTAGTATATACACAAGAACTGAAAACAGGAACTAAAACAGATATTTGTACACCCATGTTCATAACAGCATTATTTGCAATAGCCAAAAGGTATCCACCAACAGATGAATAAACAAAATTTGGTATATCCATACAATGGAATATTATTCAGCCTTAAAAAGGAAGGATATTCTGACACATGCAACAACATGGAAGAATCTTAAGGACATTATGCTAAGTGAAATAAGCCAGTCACAAAAAAGGTAAGTACTGTATGATTCCACTTACAAGAGGTACTGAAAGTAGTCCAATTCACAGAGAGAGAAAGTAGATGGTGGTTGCCAGGGAATAAGGAAAAGGGGAGAATGGGTACCGAGTTTCAGTTTTACAAGATAAAAAGAGTTATGGAGGTGGATGTTAGTAATGGTTGTGAATGCACTTAATGCCACTGAACGGTACCTGAAAAATGGCTCAGATGGCAAATTTTATGTTATGTGTATTTTATCACAATTCTAAAGAAAAATATGTCCCCACAAGAGTGAAGAAAAAAGAGTGACTTGACAGGAGAAATGTGGCAGATACCAATTTAAACTGTGATCAAAATTAGCATCACTGTTAATGGAACAAGCATATATTATGTGCCTCTTGATATGACACACTGATAAGGAAAGAAGACACTAATATTCTTGCCAAAAATGCTTAATAGGAATTTAATCAAGAGGAAACATCAGAGAAGCCCGGACTGAGGGATAGCTACAAAATAACTTTCCTGTAATCTTCAATCATGTTAATGTCATGAAAAAAAAAATGGCTGGGAAATTGTTCCAGAATAAAGAAGACTAAAAAGAAATGATATCTAAATACAATCACAAATCTGGACTGGATTCTGTACTAAGGCAAAAAAAGATTAAAGGACATTATTGGAACAAATGACAAAACTGGAATATGGATTGTTGATTAGATAAAAGTACCATTTTGATGTAAAATTTAGTGAAGTTGTTAAGTGTAGTTTTTATCCTTGTTCTTAGGAAATACATATTAAAGGACATGATGTAAGCAGCTTACTCTTAGGTGGTTCAGGAATAAAATTTTCTTTTTTTTGTTTTCTCTCTATAGCCTATAGATACGCTATAGAGAGAGATACACATACATGCTTACTTGTATGTTAGAATGATAAAACAAATGTCACAAACATGAAGAATACTGGTGAATCTGGGTAAAAAGGATATGTGAAGTCTGCACAATTCTTATAACTTTTTTATGTCCGAAATTATTTCAAAATAAGAAGTTAAAAAAGACAAATGATACACACTTATATATACAGACTAATAAAATAAAATAGTATTGAGTGCATTAGAAAGGAGACATTGCCAAAGTACAGCTTTCCAATAAAGAATGCATATCTTACTCCAGTAGTCGCCACAGGAAGTGGATTGGCTGTGTAAAGGCTTCTTTTTCCATCATAAACTGGTCTACGGTCTCCAAATATAGTTACTTTAAAATGCTGAACCATAGAGTCAACCACCTCCCTAAAAAAAGGGGAAAATATATTCATGTAATCCTGTGCATGATGAAATACAAGAATTTTAACTTGTTTCTTATATTATTTAAAGCTGTCACATTCTAAAAGATAACTGTACACGGTAAAGGTACAGCTTCCAGAACCATAGCTTAGAATACCAGAAAGACTGATTTCTGGCAAGAGACAATATGAATTTCACAAAAGATAGAGAATGAATCCAGTGAATTACTTAATCTTTCTGGGTTACAGTAGATCTGCAAAATATTATTCTTAGAAACTGACCTCTAATCTCTTTCAGCATCTCTAAACATTACCTGTCATATTCACCTCTTTTTTTCAGAGTTTCATGCTCTTTTCTCTGTGCTCAAACAGCACCTAGTACATGTATCTATTAGAACACTTATTCCACTGTATTATAATTATTATATACTTTGCTGCTACCAGACTGTGAGATTCTTGAGAGCAATAAAAACACTTGTACTTTGCACCTCTGTCCCCCATCCTACCTCTCCACTCCATGCCTGCAGTAGTATCTAGCCAGTAAGGATATTTTGAAACCTCTGTGTTTATCCAGCAAACATTTTTATCACATATATATTTACATGGAAAGATATTCAGTACTTTTACACTTAAAAAATTATATAGAATAATACCAAACATTCACAAATCAATATTTATTTTTATACATGTTATTTGTATAAGCAGTGGAAAGACATATAGAAGGATATGTACCAAATAGATACAGTGGTTACCTCTGGACAGACAAGTAGAGAGAATGATTTTTTATTTTGTTTAAGCAATCTAAGTATGTTATAATGAGAATATACCCACAAAATACTGGTAATATATTTACAATACGTTTAAAAGGATGAAAAAAGAAAAGACTTAATTATAGCACAGGCAAGTAGGTAGGCAAGAGGGAAAGAACAAAAGTATTTTCTGAAACAAAATAATTCAGCTGACTTGATAACCAGCAATTTTGTACATTCTCGAAGTTATTATTTTCCCCCCTTTTCAAACTTTGCTAAAACTACTTAAGTAAAGATTAAGGCTTTTTTAGAGGAAAAGTTTACAATAAAAATTTGACTCAGATGAGTTTTTACATACAAAGCATATTTGAAATTTTTCTGCCATTAAAAAAATTTTTTTGTGAGCATTATCAATTCCAGTTTCTTAAGTGAAATTTTACACATCAAATTTGTCATGATGTTTTGACTATTTTGTCATTTTTCTACTCACCAATAAACTGGTGCAATTTTAAGCTTACCAAATTCTGGCAACCAAATCAAACCACTCTAAGGATTAAAATAGTGGAGGAGATTGAAATAGTAGGGCTAAAACATCATGGAGATAAAAAAAAGTTCTGCTTTGAATACACAATATTCAAGTATATTCTTAGTCAGTGTTCTAACAGTGCATAGTATTGCTCAATGAACTGCAAGAATCTCTAATGGAATATATCTAAAGCTGAGTTCAACATATTTCCCTAAGTCAAATCTCGTTATCTTCCTGTTTACTACTCTTTAATTATTGGTGCTTACATCTTCCCATGAACCCAGATTCAAAATCTGACTCATCTCTTTAGACAATCAGTTGTTGATTTCATCTCTGCAGCTGTAGTACTTCTTTTATTGTTATTATTATTATTATTATTATTATTATTATTATTATTAAGGTATCATTGATATACACTCTAATGAAGGTTTCACAAGAAAAAGAATGTGGTTATTACATTCACTCTTATTATCAAGTCCCCTCCAATACCCCATTACAGTCACTGTCCATCAGTGTAGTAAGATGCCACAGAATCCCTATTTGTCTTCTCCGAACTACACTGTCTTCCCTGTGATCCCACACACCACATGCACCAATCATGATACCCCACAATCCCCTTCTCCCTCACTTCCCTCCCTGCCCTCCCACAATCCCCTCCTTTAGTAGCCACTAGTCCCTTCTTGGAGTTTGTGAGTCTGCTGATATTTTGTTCCGTCAGTTTCGTTTCATTGTTATACTCCACAAATGAGGAAGTCATTTGGTATTTGTCTTTCTCTGCCTGACTTATTTCACTGAGCATAATGTTCTCCAGCTCCATCCACGTTGTTGCAAATGGTAGGATTTGTTTCTTTCTTATGGCTGAATAGTATTCCATTGTGTATATGTACCACTTCTTTAACCATTCATCTACAACTTAGGTTGCTTCCATATCTTGGCTATTGTAAATTATGCTGTGATAAACATAGGGGTGCATATGTCTTTTTGAATCAGAGAAGTTGTTTTCTTTGGGTAAATTCCTAGGAGTGGAATTCCTGGGTCAAATGATATTTCTATTTTTCGTTTTTTGAGGAATCTCCGTACTGCTTTCCACAATAGTTGAACTAGCTTACATTCCCACCAGTAGCGTAGGAGGATTCACCTTTCTCCGCAATCTCGCCAGCATTTGTTGTTCTTAGTCTTTTCAATGCTGGCCATCCTAACTGGTGTGAGGTGATATCTCATTGTGGTTTTAATTTGCATTTCCCTGATGATTAGTGATGTGGAGCATCTTTTCATGTGTCTGTTGGCCATATGAATTTCTTTTTTCAAGAACTGTTTCTTCATATCATCTGTCCATTTTTTAATCGGGTTCTTTGCTTTTTGGGTGTTGAGACGTGTGAGTTCTTTATATATTTTGGATGTTAACCACTTGTTGGACATGTCATTTACAAATATATCCTCCCATACTGCAGGATACCTTTTTGTTCTGTTGATGGTGTCCTTTGCCGTACAGATGCTTTTTAGTTTGATGTAGTCCCATGTTTTCATTTTTGCTTTTCTTTCCCTTGCTCAAGGAGATGCGTTCAGGAAGAAGTTGCTCATGTTTATATTCAGGACATTTTTGCCTATGTTGTCTTCTAAGAGTTTTATGGTTTCATGACTTACATTTAGGTCTTTGATCCATTTTGAAATTACTTTTGTGTATGGGGTTAAACAATAATCCAGTTTCATTCTCTTGCTTGTAGCTGTCCAGTTTTGCCAACACCAGTTGTTGAAGAGGCTGTCATTTCCCCATTGTATGTCCATAGTTCCTTTATCATATATTAATTGACCATATATGCTTGGGTTTTATATCTGGGCTCTCTAGTCTGTTCCACTGGTCTGTGGGTCTGTTCTTGTGGCAGTACCAAATTGTCTTTGATTACTGTGGCTTTGTAGTAGAGCTTGAAGTTGGGAAGCGTAATCTCCCCTGCTTTATTCTTCCTTCTCAGGATTGCTTTGGCTATTCAGGGTCTTTTGTGGTTCCATATGAATCTTAGAACTATTTGCTCTAGTTCATTGAAGAATGCTGTTGTTATTTTCATAGGAGTTGCACTGAATCTGTAGATTGCTTTAGGCAGGATGGCCATTTTAACAATATTAATTCTTCCTATCCATGAGCAAGGGATGTGTTTCCATTTATTGGTATCTTCTTTAATTTCTCTCATGAGTGTCTTGCAGTTTTCAGAGTCCAGGTTTTTCACTTCTTTGGTTAGGCTTATTCCTAGGTATTTTATTCTTTTTGATGCAATTGTGAATGGCATTGTTTTCCTGATTTCTCTTTCTGCTAGTTCATTGTTAGTGTATAGGAATGCCACAGATTTCTGTGTATTAATTTTGTATCCTGCAACTTTGCTGAATTCAGATATAAGATCTAGTAGTTTTGGAGTGGATTCTTCAGGGTTTTTTTAATGTACAATATCATGTTATCTACAAAATGTTTAACTTTTTCTTAACCAATCTGGATGCCATTTATTTCTTTGTGTTGTCTAATTGCTATGGCAAGGACCTCCAGAACTATGCTGAATAAAAATGGAGAGAGTGGGCATCCTTGTCTAGTTCCCAATCTTAAAGGCGAGGCTTTCAGCTTCTTGCTGTTAGTTATGATGTTAGCTGTGGGTCTGTCATATATGGTATTTATTATGTTGAGGTACTTGCCCTCTATATCCATTTTGTTGAGAGTTTTTATCATGAATGGATGTTGAATTCTGTCAAATGCTTTTTCGGCATCTATGGAGATGATGATGTGGTTTTTGTCCTTCTTTCTGTTGATGTGGTGGATGATGTTGATGGATTTTCTAATATTGTACCATCCGTGCCTCCTTGGAATAAATCCCACTTGATCATGGTGGATGATCTCTTTGATGTATTTTTGAATTCAGTTTGCTAATATTTTGCTGAGTATCTTTGCATCTATGTTCTTCAGGGATATTGGTCTGTAATTTTCTTTTTTTGTGGTGTCTTTGCCTGGTTTTGGTATTAGGGTGAAGCTGGCCTCATACAATGAGTTTGGAAGTATTTCCTCCTCTTCTACTTTTTGGAAAACTTTTAGGAGGATGAGTGGTAGGTCCTCACTAAATGTTTGATAAAATTCAGTGGTGAAGCCATCTGGTCCAGGGGTTTTGTTCTTAGGTAAGTTTTGATTACCACTTCAATTTCATTGCTGGTAATTGGTCTGTTCAGATTTTCTGTTTCTTTCTGGGTCAGTCTTGGAAGGTTGTATTTTTCTAGAAAGTTGTCCATTTCTTCTAGGTTATCCAGTTTGTTACCATATAGTTTTTCATAGTATTCTCTAATAGTTCTTTGTATTTCTGTGGTGTCTGTAGTGATTTTTCCTTTCTCATTTCTGATTCTGTTTATGTGTGTAGACTCTCTTTTTTTCTTGGTAAGTCTGGCTAGGGGTTTATCTTTTTGTTTATTTTCTCTAAGAACCAACTCCTGCTTTCATTGATTGTTTTTACTGTTTTATTCTCAATTTTATTTATTTCTGCTCTAGTCTTTGTTATGTCCCACCTTCTACTGATTTTGGGTGCCATTTGTTCTTCTGTTTCTAGTTTTGTCAATTGTGAGTTTAGACTGTTCATATGGGATTGTTCTTCTTTTCTGAGGTAGGCCTGTATTGCAGTATACTTCCCTCTTAGCACGGCCTTCACTGCATCCCACAGATTTTTGTGGTGTTGAATTATTGTTCTCATTTGTCTCCATGTATTGCTT